GAGGGAGAAGGGGGGACGGTGGGGGCGGACAGAGGGGGTGACTAGGGACAGAAGGGGGGGTGACTGGGGACAGGAAGGGGTGACGTATCGCCTTCCATTTGACGGATCAAACGGTAAGACAGCTCTCAAAATACACCTCGAGTGCCCAGAGGAAGCCAAGAAGGCTTACGTCTCTGGCCAGAAAGATTTTCCCATGGGAACCCAGGGTCGTGACCCCCTCGTGACACCGTCTCCGGGTAAGGCCGCGTTATATCCGGTGACCCGGGATTATACCCGGCCAGGAGGCCACACATCACTGCCCAAATCCAGCTGCGTCTCGCGTAGATGGATAATTTACGGGCTATTCATGCCCGTGCCACCTCTTGGGTGGCTTAATCTTTATCAGTCAATTGATGGATAATCTACTGAACTACCTGCTGTGCTTTCGTTAAGTTGCCAAATGTTAGTAGCAAAGGTGATTAACAATGGAACTGGGGACGTTGGCGTTCCAAGTGGGGCCGTTGGCGTCGCAACAGGGGGGCCGTTGGCGTCGCAACAGGGGGGCCGTTGGCGTTGCAACAGGGGGGGGGCCCGTTGGCGTTGCAACAGGGGGGGGGGGGGGCCGTTGGCGTCGCCTCAAGTGGACACCACGAGAGGTGCTGAAGGGACCTCAATTCTCGCCAACTTCAACAGAATCTAAAACCGAGCCAGGCCCCGAGTGTGGATACCAGAGAACAACACTTTCCTCGCATTTTGCTCGACTGATCATTTTGCTAACCGTGATAGGTTAGGTTGGATCGAGTTTACGTAGAAAAAGAGTAGCGATGTCGTAGGCTAGTGAACGTTTCTCGCATGTATTAGACCCTCTGCTCTCCCGCCAAGCGGGGAAGGCAATAAACACGACGACCCGTCTACACGACGACCCGTCCACACGACGACCCGTCCACACGACGACCCGTCCACACGACGACCCGTCCACACGACGACCCGTCCACACGACGACCCGTCCACACGACGACCCGTCCACACGACGACCCGTCCTACACGACGACCCGTCCACACGACGACCCGTCACACGACGACCCGTCCACACGACGACCCGTCCACACGACGACCCGTCCACACGACGACCCGTCTACACGACAACCCGTCTACACGACAACCCGTCTACACGACAACCCGTCTACACGACGGAGGAGCGTCGTGTTTTGTCGTCTAGAGGGGCTTGTGTGTGGGGCCTCGTCGTGGATACCACCTAAATCACTTCCATCCCCACGGGGAAGCCTTACCATAAGTCAGCATAAGGGGAGGAGTCTACAGCAGGTTATAAGAGGTTCAGAGGGCCAAGAGCCACGCTTTACCTACAACAGTCTAGGGGGGAGATTTGAGACACGCAGAAGCTGGAGAGTACAGAGAGAGAGAGCGAGAGCAAGAGCGAGAGAGAGAGCGAGAGAGAGCGAGAGAGAGCGAGAGAGAGCGAGAGAGAGCGAGAGAGAGCGAGAGAGAGCAAGAGAGAGCGAGAGCAAGAGAGAGCAAGAGCGAGAGAGAGCAAGAGCTAAGGTGGTGTTCCCGACCAGGCAGCCGTGCCGAGGTCACCACGGGTCACGACACAGGCCCCAACAACCCCTCACGACTCTTGATAGATGAACCATGCTTCCATTAATGGCATATATTATTCATTCCAGTTTAGTGTATGGGCGAGAAAACAAAAACAAAGAAGAAGAACCAGGCAGCAGAGAGAGAGGACTGGATAAAAGTCAGGGAAGAAGGGAAGAGAAGGGAAGGGAAGGATCAGATAGGATTGGAGGGTGACAGATCAACAACTGGAGGAGAGGAGACGGTTGGGAAGCGATTTCGGCAACTCCCTCCCCGTCTCCGTCTCTCTATTTACAAAAATGTTGAAGAAAGAGAGAGAAAACGAGAAGAGGCAAGCGGGGACGGGGGCGAGAGGGGTGAAGAGGCTTCGGATGAGAAAGTCAAACGCAGCAGCTGAGCTTTGTGCCTCGTGGTGTAAGAGAAGACTGTGGATGATAGCAAATTACGGGATCGCCATAGCCCGTGCTACATGGACACTTCGTTCTGAGTAGCTAAATCTAAAACAACAACTGATGGCAAAGTTGCCATCTTTACTCATCTCTTTGGGAGAAGAATATGCAGTTATCACATCACTTAATCGCGATAAAATACCAAGGCAAAATGTCGACAGCAACTCCAGCACGAAGCCTGATGACAATAGCACTTTCACCAGTCTTCAAGCAATAGACCAACACATTAAGGCTTTTAATAACTTGTGGTTCTCGAATATCACAACATTAGGCTCGTGTTCACATAACATTAAACCTGGTGGGGGTAGAACGGTCGCTGGTGTAATGCGAACTCTTCGGGAGGGGAAGATGTGGGGGGGAGGGGGAGGGGAAGATGTGAGGGGGAGGGGAAGATGGGGGGGAGGGGGAGGGGAAGATGTGGGGGGGGGAGGGGGAGGGGAAGATGTGGGGGGGAGGGGGAGGGGAAGATGTGGGGGGGAGGGGGAGGGGACGGTGTGGGGGAGGAAGATAAAGGTAAGAAGAGGTGTGGGGTTGGACGTGAAGGCGAGTAGGGGGGTTTGGATTGAGTAGGGGGTAGACTAAAGGTTTGGGTGTGACGGAGAAAGGGGCGGCGTGGGCGAGGAATATGTAGAAGTAACCCGAACCCCACAACACACCACACCCACCCGCCCCTTAGTGACCCTGTAAAAGGCTTCTCCCTCCCGCCATCACCAGACGATCACTGCCCCCTCGGCCGGACGCGCCTCCAGGTGGCCGGAAACAAGACTAAACCTCCACGAGCAAGAGAGGATACGCCAGTTACAATAACATCTAAGTGCTGTGATTTCTGAAGGCTAAAATGACCTAATAGTGCCTTAGCTAGGGCCAGAAACGGGACAAAACACACATTGACATGTTGTTTATACCTGACTTTAGGTAATGAGTTACGCATTATGCAAAAACACGCTCTCTTTCTGTTCCATTCAATTCCCCCTCCCCCTCCCTCTCTCCCCCGCCTTCGACAGGCGTATCCTCTTACGCGCAAAACAACTGTTTTTCAAGGCTGGCGTTCAATAAGAAGGCTTCAGCTGATAGGTCGTTTGTTGCAACACACACACTACACCCGCATATTGCACCCCTTCCCGTTACCTCCCACCCACTCTTCCTCGTTCTCCTCCCGTCCCGCCCATATACACCTCTCACCCCGTCATATTCCTGGGGCTCAAATCTTCATGTTCCGTATCTCTACTTCCCATCTTTCCCCACACATTTCTTATAGCCTCCTTCCTATTGGGGGGGGGGCAAAGAACCCCCCCTTCTTCCATCTACAACTTGCCTACTTCCCCAATCTCCCATCCCTTTATCCATCATCTAACCCCCCTTCCATCTATCTACCAGTCCCACTACCCACAATCTCCCAAGTTTTCGTTACTCCCTCCTAACCCAGCCCCCTCCTCTATAACCCAGCCTCCCCTTCACCATTTCCCTGCCCCATTCCCCCTACCTTGCACAGCCCCAACAAGGTGGGACAAACCACCCGTTGTCAGCCGGAGATGGGACAAGGCAGCTCGTGTGCCTAGGAGACAGCAAAGCGCACATACATACATTATATTTAGTTGATGCCGGCAAGGAAAGTCCCCGTTTCTCTGACCACAGCCCCTCTATTTGGATAGACCCCCACGGGGCGTTGAGCTATTTGGATAGACCCCACGAGGCGTTGATCTATTTGGATAGACCCCCCACGAGGCGTTGATCTATTTGGATAGACCCCCACGAGGCGTTGATCTATTTGGATAGACCCCACGAGGCGTTGATCTATTTGGATAGACCCCCCACGAGGCGTTGATCTATTTGGATAGACCCCCACGGGGCGTTGATCTATTTGGATAGACTCGTACTCACGACATCGGAAAGGTAAAAGGCGGGGGTTCAGAAGCTGAAGCCTAATCCCCCTTTCCCCCCCATAACTTTTTGAAAGTAACCTTTTGCATTTGTAAGTTCGTAAGTGTGCTAAATACCTGTCTTGTAACTGTTACAATCTGTAATGAAATCCCTGAAAATGTTTTACTATGTAGTTTGTGTTAGGATGCGAAAAATTATACGATGTTTACGCGAAATAAAGACTTGTTGTAGAGTTTAGTAATTGAACTGGCATTGACGTTGGTGTGTGCTGACCTCAGCATGACCCCAAGAGGTCAGGTGCCAAGGGGTCACGGGGCTGGGTCACACGCTCTGCTTTCCACCTCGTAAACAAATGCGCTCTCACGGGCGAACACGTCAGTTCGTCCCCACCAAACATGCAGTGTTGGTGCTCTTGGTATACGTGAGAGCACAAACATGCGCCAGCCTGATCTAACTTATAAACATCGATGCTCGACCGTCCTTAAATTTAAAGTAAATTGCATTTCATTTATACACTTAATACACCCCGTTAACGGACATATTTGAATGCATTTAGCGAGATGTATTATACAAATTGGCCAATATAAGCTATACACATAAAAGCAATATACAAGTCAAGAATAATGGTCCAGGATGGATCGAAACAACGCCCCTTGATCTTAAACTTAGGACCCAACCTTAGACCTTTTTAAGGTCTAAGGTGACCTAAGAACTACGTTCACACGTGAACTTGAGACACAGGTTACGTAATGCTGTAATTATTACTGACATATTACAGTGTTGTCCCACTGGCTAAGTGCTTTCTCAGAGACGACCCTACCAGGTAATTTATTTTTTTATTTTTGAAGCAGATATTCGTTAAAGATTAGTAAGGAAAACTTTATAAATGTATTAAAACCACATCAGTGCATTCAAACAAATGAAGATTAGTCGGATACGACTTCCTAACATTTATTGTTTAAGATAAGGTGTTAACTGTTCAGTAAGTGATACACAATAATTAACACTGTGTTAATTGTTGCTTGTATCAATTAAATTTATTGTTTACAGCGTGTTTTTTTGGATATTAGCTGATATTGACTTATGTTGTTGCAGGTTGTGTGTGGTGGTCGTGGCGGTGGTGGGCGGCGCCAGTCAGCAGATGGCCAAGATCCGTCGTGCGGGCGGCAGCACGGAGACGTCGTCCACCCTGGGCTGGGTGGCTGGCCGAGGCACCGTCCTCCCGCCGCACGCGGTGCTGGTCACGGAGGACGACCCGGCCACCGTGTGGTGCCGCGCGGAGAAGCACAGCACCTGGATGGCCGGGGCCATGCACTCCGGCACCTGCACCGTGCCCTTCCTCACCACCGTGCTGCGCATCAACGACAACTTCGAGATCCTCGTCTCCATCAACGGGTCGGCGCGAGTGCGCTACGAAAACTGGGACCGGTATTTAGCGCCGCCGCACAACGCTGTGTCCGCCGAGGCTCGTCGCTTCTTGGCCGTGCGGGAGGGCGAAGACGGCTTCCCCCAGGCGGGGTTCCTGGCCCCGCGGGAGAGACGCGCCTACTTCGTCTCGGGATCCACCGTCGAGAAGGTCGACACCGCCAAAGTTCTAGTTGAAGACGAGCCTGAACGCTACGACCTCCGGGCCGTGAACCTGGACACCAGTCGCATGTCCATAACGCGCGAGGAGTCCGTGCTGGCCAAGGCCATGCTGCTCAACCCGGGCCCGTCGCGGCAGCGGGTGGTGGAGGACAGGGAGGTGGTGGTGCGCCAGCTGGCGTACTGGGGCCAGATCAAGGGCACGTACAACGGCAAGCCCGCCCACGTGGTCTCCCCGCCGCCGGAGTCCGAGGAGAGGGACCTGATGTGGGGCGTGCAGAACGAGCTCGACCGCGTGTACCAGGACCTCCTGGAGTACGACCTGCCCCCGGGCACGGGCGTCAGGGTCAAGATGATCGGCACTGTTCGTAAGACCGAGGCGCCCTACTTCGGCACCCTGACGGCCGTGTACAAGGACGGCAGCCAGACCTCTCGGGTCATCGAGGGGCTCCACATGGACCAGCGGCTGGTCATGCTCCGCGCCCAGTACTCCTCGCCTTACTTCATCCACAACAACACGGTGCTCGACATCCCCGAGCAGACGTCAGTGCTATTCAAATCCACCACAACCACCACCACAACAACCACAACCACTACAACAACTTCCACCACCCCCGAGCCGCCCAAAATGTCGATGGTGGGACCGGAAAAGCCGCAGAGTGATTCGCTGAGCACAACTCAGCGGGAAGTGGAGGTGAATCTCCACGGTAGTGCTGGCCCCTTGTGCCCCGCCCTGGCCCTGATCCTGGCCTTGGCCCTGGCCACCCTCTCTGCTGCCAGCCCTTGAGTCATCTTGTATACCAAGCTCCTCACTTCATTGCATTTTCCTTTTGCCTCGGAAATTTCGCAGGAAATGTCGGCAAGAAATTGTCTGGGAGAGCAACAGGGACGCTTACAGTCCTCTCGTGCTGTGCATTTTTAGAACTACAGAAGAAAATCAGAAGTACTTATTTACATTATACAAATAATATATATATCTGTTGTTGACACTGTTAGGACAGTAGAAACTAGATGTCAATTATGTCCAGTGTTGACCTCAGCTGTCCCTCCAGCCAAGGCCTACTAGATAGGCCTAGGGGGCAGAAACACCCTACCATAACCCTAGTTCCGCTGTTCTGACTGGAGAATTCTTTAAACTAAAAATAATCCTGGGTTAGGCATTTTACAAGAAGACACCGTTAAAATGTCATCCGCTTCCAAGACGAACGAGACTTGTCTAAGCGGGCGGATGTAGGCTTCAGAAGTCATTCCATCACCTGTTGTCTGCAGCAACTACGGGCTCACCATAGCCCGTGCTGCTTGGAACTTTTTGTTCTTAGACAGCGAATCTTAAACAACAACAACAACTTGTCCGCAGCGCCACTCTTATCAGCGGCTGGCCAGGAACCCGCTGGTGCTTCTCTCTTCAACATCAGTAATGCTCCGGCTGATCAAACGTTCAGCTAATAATAATATTCTTAGCTATCGTGGCGAAGTTGTACATGCGAGTATGAATGTTAAATATAATCTTGTGCAGAAGCCGACTCGAGTGACTGCGGTGCGTGTGTACAGCTAAACACTGTACTAGGAGGAGTGTGAGTGAGTGTAAATATTGAGCCTGTATATTGCTGAGAATTCCCCAACCACTAGGGCAGTAGTGGCTTCCTTGTGTGTTTATAATCATGATAATAAGCCTCCTTCACTATGTTGCGGGTGAAGCCTATTTATTTCCGAGTTCTCCCCAAAACATTGATGCTTTCACTCTTGGTGTTTAAGACTTCTGGAGCATCTCTCAGAAGGGTGACAGCACCCCCTCAGAAGGGTGACAGCACCCCCTCAGAAGGGTGACAGCACCCCCTCAGAAGGGTGACAGCACCCCCTCAGAAGGGTGACAGCACCCCCTCAGAAGGGTGACAGCACCCCCTCAGAAGGGTGACAGCACCCCTCAGAAGGGTGACAGCACCCCCTCAGAAGGGTGACAGCACCCCCTCAGAAGGGTGACAGCACCCCCTCAGAAGGGTGACAGCACCCACTCAGAAGGGTGACAGCACCCCCTCAGAAGGGTGACAGCACCCCCTCAGAAGGGTGACAGCACCCCCTCAGAAGGGTGACAGCACCCCCTCAGAAGGGTGACAGCACCCCCTCAGAAGGGTGACAGCACCCCCTCAGAAGGGTGACAGCGCCCCTCAGAAGGCTGACAGCATCAACCAACGACTTCAAGAGCAAACCTTCACAACATTAACAACCCACTCTGCCCCCCCCCCTCCCCCTCCGTCACTTCCCACCTCCATACACCCCTAATATAACCCTATACGCTTGACCCCTCCAGGGTTGATCTGTAGTCCCCTGCCATGTTGTATCTCGTACCATGTGAACTGCCTCAGTGTTGTTGTACGTCAAGTGTCGTGCGTGTGTGAGAGTTGAGTGAGTGTGCGTGCAGCCTGGAGAGTGGAATATGCAGTTCTTAAGGGGGGTTCATTCCCCGGGACTCCCCCAAGCAGGGTGTGTGTGTGTGTGGTGGACGGTGTTCTATGTCGCTCTTGAAGACTTTGTACCTATGTCATGTGTAATAAAAGGTGTGTGGGATGTCACTAGTCGTGTTTATTCTGCCCTCCATTGATGACCACCACCTCGAACACAGGGATTCATTCATCGCATTAAATCCCCTAGTCATAGTAATGATTAAATCCCCTAGTCATAGTAATGATTAAATCCCCTAGTCATAGTAATGATTAAATCCCCTAGTTTTAGTAATGATTAAATCCCCTAGTCATAGTAATGATTAAATCCCCTAGTCATAGTAATGATTAAATCCCCTAGTCATAGTAATGATTAAATCCCCTAGTCATAGTAATGATTAAATCCCCTAGTCATAGTAATGATTAAATCCCCTAGTCATAGTAATGAATAAACATCACATCAACCAATAAATCGCTCACATAGTAAGTCGAACAACCAAACATTCAACAAATTCATAATCCAGCCTTTAAAAAATAAAGAAAAATCCTCACCGTGAAGATGATTCTGCCATTGTCTTAAAACTTAATTAGATAACACTTGACAGTCGAAGACATTGTGGGAGACGTATACACATTGTGGCATGTTGGTGGCACTATTGCCAGTGAGGTGGCACACTATGGCACCCTTCTGCTATTGTCTCGTATTTACTATAACAATATCTGAGAATATACCCAGTTTGACTTCTAATGACGAGAGGAAAAAAAGTTGTAATGAAAAGTAAAGTGGTACCATATATCACGATACAATCAGACACTATTAATGGGGAATACCATTAAAATAGTCGTTAATATACAATATGACTTTAATGGGGAGTTCTGTAGCTCAAAGACACAGTTCTCTCCCCTCCCCCAGAGCCCTTCCCCCCAGGGCATAGCCGTGCCCTTTCCCCCCAGGGCATAGCCGTGCCCTTCCCCCCAGGGCATAGCTGTGTCCTTCCCCCACAGGGCATAGCCGTGCCCTTCCCCCACAGGGCATAGCCGTGCCCTTCCCCCACAGGGCATAGCCGTGCCCTTCCCCCACAGGGCATAGCCGTGCCCTTCCCCCCCAGGGCATAGCCGTGTCCTTCCCCCCCAGGGCATAGCCGTGTCCTTCCCCCACAGGGCATAGCCGTGCCCTTCCCCCCCAAGGCATAGCCGTGTCCTTGCCACCAAGGCATAGTACACGCGCCAAACACCTCTCACTGATATTCAACATTGAGAGAGACCAATAAACGCGTACCACTGTCCGTCGTGACTAACAGGAGTCCGCGCTGCGCACCAGCAGCGCGAGACGACGCACCCAACCACTAATCTCATGTCAACTACGTATTCTAATTGGCTACAGAAACTCTATCACGCTCTACAAAAAAAAACATAAAAACTAAATTACTGGAATCGAAGATGAATACAATAACTGTATACCCCAGCGGACTGAAACAGTTAGTTTTGACTGTTTCAGTCCGCTGAAACAGTTTTGACTGAAACTTCAACAGCAAGCGTCAAGATTGCTGTTAAGTTTCAAGGTTTAAATAACGACCAAAAAGGTAATCTTGTTTAGGGTCGTTGCACTAAATAGATTGGAATAATACCATTATTAACAGACCCATTTAAAACTCAATATTTTCGAACAAGAGAATATTCGGCAATCTTGTACAATCCGAATCCATTCAAATGCCAAGATAATATTTATTAATTTACCAAATTGTATTACCCGGAATGCATGCAGAACATACCTCATAACCTACCTTAGGAAACATGTATATGGACTGGCGCCACATTTGTACACTGAAACAAGTCCTTACAAGAGTAGAAAGCAGTTTAGAGAGCAGTTCTAAAAGACACATTTACAATTACACACAGAAATCACAATTGCGTGATGCATCAAATGAACAAATCCACAAGGACGCAGGTTCGAATCCTCGTCACGGCCCTTGTGGATTTGTACACATTTACAAGTTATTGCCCAATACTCACTCAGAGAAGCTAGCAAAGGGCCTAAGACTAACACACACACACACACACACACACACACACACACACACACGCACGCACGCACGCACGCACGCACGCACGCACGCACGCACACACACACACACACACACACACACACACACACGCACGCACGCACGCACGCACACACACACACACACGCACACACACACGCACACACACACGCATACACACACGCATACACACACGCATACACACACGCATACACACACGCACACACACACACACACACACACACACACACACGCACACACGCGCACACACGCGCACACACGCGCACACACACACACACGCACACACACGCGCGCACACACACACACACACGCACACACACACACACACACACACACACACACACACACACACACACACACACACACACACACACACACACACACAGGGAATCACCAAAACCCAATTTGTCCACTTGATAAGCTAAACGAACTTAGCTCATGGGCCACGCTCCTAGTTCAGTTCAGTTCAGTTCAATTCAGTTCCTGAACCAATTATGTGCCTCTGTAACCCTTTCCACCACCGCCCACGGGATGGGTATGGTGTGCATAGGAAATGAAAAGTCTTCAAGAATTGCTGCGACTACGTCGGATTGCAAGCTGCCAGCACCAACAGTCTACGAGGTGGTCTGTGATGATTCCAGGCCGCGGGGACAACGACCTCCTCGAACACCCCTTAAATTAACCACAAGGTTTGTTCATGGTAGGTACCTATGTTCTGGGATAACTTTTTGAACAACAGTTCAAACAGACTGCCGATACAAGTCATGATAGTGATCTTCATGACCTCCCATGACCTCGACTCCCTTCTATATAATGATCCTGACCGTTAACCATTTCTGCAGGATGAATTAAAAAACTATTTAAGTATACCCTTGAATTTCCTTGTCAGAAAAATCTTCAGATCGTTTCGAAGAAAACGTTTTCAGCATATTTTAAACAAACGACTTATCAGACAATAGTTATAATTTGTGAATAATCTCTGGATTTGGCAAAGGTTCACTTGTTAGTTTATTAGTTGACTATTACTGGAACTGTAATATGCTTTCAGACCAACACAAATATCTAAGATATCCAGGTGCTTTGACGGGGAGGTTTGTCGCTCGAGGTAATGGATTTGCTTAGAGGACGGGCTCCACCAGAAAACGTTTCTGGTGGTTATCTTGAGGTTATCTTGAGATGCTTTCGGGGCTTTGGTGTCCCCGCGGCCCGGTCTTCGACCAGGCCTCCACCCCCAGGAAGCAGCCCGTGACAGCTGACTCACTCCCAGGTACCTATCTACTGCTAAATAACAGGGGCATCAGGGTGAAAAAAAACTCTGCCCATTGTTTCTCACCGACGCCCGGGATCGAACCCGGGACCACAGGATCACGCGTCCAGTGTTCTGTCCGCTCAGCCGCCGGCTCCCCTTGTAGCTCTACCTTGGAGCGTGTGTACGTTTCCCTAACCAGAAACGTACACACCCAAGCAACCCACCTAACCTATCTAATCCCAGGCATAGGAAACATATCTGTGAGCCGTTACTTTTCACAGCAGGTCACATTCGTAACGTTGGATGCCATAACGTAACAAACGCGACCTATTAGTTGAGAGGAAGGTATGATACACCACGCTCTAGCTCCTGGCCCTCCACCAGGCTACAGAGGCACTGTAGGAGAAGAGGGCCGTCCGGGGCGTCATCCACAGCCACTGTTACTACACCTGACGACACAAGGGGGGTGGGGGGTAGAAATTGTACCCAAAAAGAGGGAGAAAAAAGGTGAACAAAAAAAAAAACAGACTCCGTAATAAACTGGTTACAAAGTTTGGAGGATAATTTGCATACTAAGCATTTTCCGAGGGTCTAAAACAGGCGGCGGTGGAGATGCTTATAGGAGGGCGTAGGTGTGGTGGGTGTGGAGGGCGTAGGTGTGGTGGGTGTGGAGGGCGTAGGTGTGGCGGGTGTGGAGGGCGTAGGTGTGGCGGGTGTGGAGGGCGTAGGTGTGGCGGGTGTGGAGGGCGTAGGTGTGGTGGGTGTGGAGGGCGTAGGTGTGGTGGGTGTGGGTGTGGAGGGTGTGGGTGTGGAGGGCGTAGGTGTGGAGGTGTGGCAGGGTGTGGCATCTCTCTCTTCGTGAGTTGAGAGGGATGAGGTAGGTGGGCGATGCAGAGCTGCTGCTGCTGCTGTTTAAGATTCGCTACTTGGAACAGGAAGTTATAAGTAGCACGGGCTATGGTGAGCCCGTTGTAGACTTACCTGGCACAGGAGCGGGGCTGAGCATGCAGAGCTATTGGTGGTTGTTGGAAGGGGAGGGGGGGGGTGAGAGAATATTGGTGTTGACGTACTCACATAATTTTGCTTGCGGGGGTTGAGCTCTGGCTCTTTGGTCCCGCCTCTCAACCGGTGTGTGTGGGGGGGGGGAGGGTGCTTACCTAACAATGCTAATATTACCCCACATTAGTACTCTGGGAAGGTTTAAACATACCAAGAATTAACAGTCCATCATGGGATAAGAAAACAGTAAATTATCAACAAAGTGCATTGGATTGCATTAACACTTATGTTAAACACGATTACTTAATGATGAATGTACCAAATAACTAGGAAGAAGGTAGGAATTAGAGGAAGGAGAGAGGAGAGAAAGGAGAGAGGAAGGAACTATCAGGGGGAAAGCGCCGAGCCATTACGACTATATAGCACTTGGAAGGGGTCAGGATAAGGATTTGGGATGGGACGCGAGGCAGGAATGGTGTCCAACCACTTGGACGGTCGGGGATTGAACGCCGACCTGCATGAAGCGAGACCGTCGCTCTACCGTCCAGCACAAGTGGGTGGACGGAAGGAGAGAGGAGAGGAAGGGGAGAGAGAGAGAAGGGGGTTGGGGGAGAAAGGAAAGAAAGGAGAGGGGTGGGGGAGAAAGGAGAGGGAGGGGTGGGGGAGAAAGGAGAGAGAGGAGAGCAAGCAGAGTTAGCGAGAGCAGACGCAGGAATGGCACCAGAACACCTAGAGAGAGAGAGAGACGGCTTTCCTGAGCCAATGTCGGAGGTGGAGGCCAACGTTCACAGTAAGAGAGCATCACGGAGCGTATTTACATA